ACTATCTCTAGAACGTTTTGAATATATTTATGTGCATGCTGTTCTTGATAATCTAGTTTTTACAATTCTTTTTAATACAGCCCACAATGTAAACTACTGGGTTACCAGTAATTGTGTTAGCTACTAAATTTTATTTATTTATTTAACTAAAACACTACACATTTCAACCTACGTATCGAAAAAAATAACTCCTGCATGCGTAGCATGCCTATGTCTAGTATTCTGTGGCTGAACATCCACTTTTAATAATCATTTGGTAAAAATACAAATCCTCAAATCAGTAATTATTTGATTTTAAATTGAGAACAGGTGAGTTTCACCCTGAGGATGGTAGGCATGGGGGAAGCATGGCTGTTCTGGGTCAGGCAATGTTTAGGGGCAAAAAATTCTCTGAGCTTCACGAAACTTATGGCTGTGGCAACCATTAGGGATAGCCTAATTATACTTATTTCCCAAGTCATGGAAGATATATCTGTTTTTATTTTTGACACAGCATTTGCATGAAAACTTGAATATTTGGCATTCATGTTATTTTCAAAACTTAACTTGTTCAAAACCTGAAAGAGTTAGGGCATTAGTGAGTGGGAGGAGTGAGAAAAACAGAAATTCTTTACGTCTCTTTTGGTTTCCTTACTTACCCAATTAATACAGCGTGGGAAAACAGAAGGGGGATGACAGTTGGTAAACTTATAGAAATGTGTACAAATTGTTTTTCAACTATCTTCTCTTCATTATTAGGTTAAATGGCGACCAGTGATCTGGGGACTTGCTTTACAGTTTGTGTTTGGCCTTCTAATTCTTCGCACTAAATTTGGCTTTGAGGCTTTCAAGGGTGTAGGAAATCAAGTGACAGCATTTTTGGATTACACTAGTGTTGGGGCTGCGTTTGTGTTTGGAACTGGCTACAGAGAACATTTCTTTGCCTTCCAGGTACATATTCATTTGCTTTGTAGTAGATTGCATTCAGCTGTTTGCTGAGTGGCTTAATGGTGTGAGTTTCTTCTTTGATAACTGGTTGCTTCATTGAAGAGCATACATCAGTTAAACCTTTACCTCCTACTTCTCAACTACACTACACCAGCATTATCTTATGGAGGCCAAGTGTAACACTGAACTTTGTGACTCAAAGGAAAAAGAAAGTTAGAAAGATTGTAAATTGCGTGTTTTAGGCCGAAGTTCTTATTTGAAGACTTTGTGGCTTAAATGCTACCACTACCAGCTGGTAACACTTTCTTTTTCTGTTTTAAAGGATTCTGGTGATAGATAACAGACTGGAAATAAATTGTAGTTTTGTTTTTTACCTGAGGTAAAGACAGCCTGATACATTGATCTGTGAAGGTTAATTTCATTTATTCTTTGAATCGACAGGTGCTTCCAATCATTATTTTCTTCAGTTCAGTCATTTCACTGTGTTACTACATTGGCATCATGCAAGTGGTAATCAAGAAAATTGCATGGCTTATGCAGATAACAATGAAGACAAGTGGTGTAGAGAGTTTAAATGCTGCTGGTAATATCTTTATTGGACAGGTATTGTATTTTAACTCTCTAGTTCTTGAATCTGATTGATACATTGTAGTTTACTCTTCATTTGAGATCTGAAATATTTTTCTTTGGGCAGATAAGAAGGTTCCTTAGAAAATGAACTAAGAGGGTGAGGGTTCCCTCTGTTGGAATTGGCTTTATGCTCATTTTTGTGTTTTTTTTTTTTGTTGTTGTTCTATTCAGACTGAAGCTCCCCTTATGATTAGACCATTCCTTGAACATGTGACAATGTCTGAGCTTCATGCAATAATGACAGGGGGATTTGCTACCATCGCTGGAAGTGTATTAGCAGCTTACATTGAATATGGTGTATCAGCCTCTCATTTGCTGAGTGCATCGGTGATGTCTGCACCAGCTGCCCTAGCCATTTCAAAGCTTATGTATCCTGAAACAGAGATTCCTGAGACTCTCAACGAGGAAAATATTGAACTCCCTAAAGGGTGAGCTATTTTAATAATATTTGTGTAATGATCAGGGTTTGTACAGGTCATGGAAAACCTGGAAAGTCATGGAATTTTAAAATTTCAATATTCCAGGCCTGGATAGTCATGAAATTTAGGCGTGGGTCATGGAAAGTCATGGAAAATCAATATGCTCTCTATGAGTGAAAGGCAGTAATACCCAAAGTTGAAAAGTAAACTGACGAGTCCAAAAATCAGATTTAATTTCATTAGAAATAAACGGAAGCACGTATTGAGAGAATGTTTGCAAACATAAATTGTTTTTTTAACGTTACTGTCTGAGAACAATACCATTAGTTATTGCTTACCTTAGGTCATGGAATCTTTCAAAAGGTCAAGGAATTTTAACAGGTCAAAAGTGTATGAACCCTGATGATGCCTTTACATCATTGTAAATTATGTAAATGATGAAATTGATTTAACCAGACTGTGATACAAAGTAAATGGCACAATGTCATGCTTCCACGCTGAAACAAAAACTCATTTGCAACAGCTGTCATGTTTTTCAAAGTAGATGATGAAATACACTGGTTGCCGACTCATTTAGATTGTCAGCATCTTTTGAAGCAAACTATGAAACTTTGTGTCAGAGACTAGTGGTTTCTTCATAATCCTCTGTATTGGGTTTTTACTGAATTTTCTTCCACTCCTGTTCATGGATCTTGTATCCTCTCTTGTAGAAATGAAAGGAATGTCATTGAAGCAGCTGCCAAAGGTGCCAGTACAGCTATTGCTCTTGTTGCTAACATTGCAGCCAATCTGATTGCTTTCCTTGCCTTTTTGGCATTTTTCAATGGTGTTTTGTCATGGCTTGGATCAATGGTTGGAAAACCGGAACTCAGTTTTGAGGTATTAATTAGATCAGAATTTTCCAGTAGCTTAAAATGATTTAGTTTTATCTTAGCTTTTGTCAATGGTTGGAAATACCAGAAATCAGGTATATTTAGTCAAAGGAACCTATTTGTTTATGCTGTGATCAAAGTCAGAGCAGAATGTTCTTGTTAGTGAATCAGGGTTTGTATGGGTCTTGGAAAACCTGGAAAGTTATGGAATTTGATTTGACATTTTTCCAGGACTGGAAAGTCTTGGAAAAAGACTACAGGTTCTGGATAGTCCTGGAAATTGGCTAAAAATCAAGCAATAAAGTTTTCAGAATTTATGTTATAAGAAATGTGTGTAGACCTTAGAGAGAATTGATTTTGAAATGGGAAATTTGGAGTCCTGGAAAATTCCTTGAAATTTGTTTCTGAAAAAGGGTACAAACCATGTGAATGTTGTAGAGCCTAGCTATGGCTTTCATCGAGGTTGGGAAGCAAGTACTGAAGGTTTAATCCATTATCTCCCAAGATGTAATTGCCTATTCCCCCGTCTAGCTGCTGCACATTTTCTTATAAGTTGGTTTTGGGAATTGGGTGTTAGATCAAGATATAAACTTATACCTGATAAGTTTAAGTATTCTTGTTACTTGTCTGCCAGATAAGATAATATGAATATCACAGGGAGAAGCTACATTCTAACTACTTCTAGAAGTTTAAGGGTCAATCAGGGTTTGTATAGTCCCTGGATAATGTGCAAGGTCTTTAAAAAAGGACTAAAGGTCCTGGAAAGTCCCTCAAATCTGATTAACACAAGCAATAAAGTTTTCAGAATTTTTGTTTTGTGGAGAAATCAGTGTAGGAAGGCATACATGTGGGTTATAGCATTAAAGCTGTGCAAGTAGAAAATTTTGTAACTCGCCTGAAGATTTGTTTTCTTGTCTTTCAGTATATTTGCTCATATGTACTACGACCAGTTGCCTTTATCATGGGTGTTCCTTGGGAAGATTCAGATGTTGTTGCAGAGCTTCTTGGTATAAAAACCTTCCTAAATGAATTTGTGGCTTATACTCGGCTTGCTACGATTATTGAGAACAGAACAAAAATGACTGGCTTGCGCACCATTTCGGTGAGTAATAACGTATACAGCAAGTTATCTACTGGATGTATTTTAAAGGGGATGATTTTTAATTGTTACAGTATAAAAAAAAAAATTGATGGAAGCTTCCTAATTCAGGCATTTAGATGCAAAAGTGGTATTTCTGTTTTTTTTAAAGTTGTCTTTGTCATATAGTATTTCTTGTTGTATACAAAATATTCTGCTTTGCCTTCTTTTAAAGGAATGCCCACACTTAAAAAAAAAAAAAAAAGACAAGAAAACAATTGTTTAAATGTACTCGTAGATGATGAACTTAACAAACTGAGTGCATGATAATAAACATGGATGTTTTTCAGTGTAGTGTAGACAGCCATGTAGACAGAGCTGCCCAAGAGAAACATGTAGATAGAAGGTAGAATGTTATTCAGGTAGTAAAAACAGCTGATTATAGCAGAGTGTACTGTGCATCTTTCAGGTAAGCTATTATTAATTGTTCTGTAATTCTCAGCATTTGTACATGTGAACCATTATTTTTATTTTAGTGTGTGCATTCCTTCAAGTAAAACTCAGCAAATGTTGCTTTAGTGTAAATACATTAAAGTTATTTATGTTCATGCTTAAGATCAAAGTACTATTTAACACTTACAATCAAGAGTTCCCTCTGAACTTTACAGTCATATCTCCACTTTCAGTCATAAGTGTTTTGTCAAAATTTGATAATTCTTGAATGGTATAAATAGTAATCATAGATTTGGTAATGAATTTTGGCTGGCTTTAGTTGAGCAGGTTCCTGCACCTACAAACCAGCATTTGCATGTTATGGCAACTGTCACCACAAGCTGTCAATGAATGAGAAAAAGGTGGCTGTGTTGTAAACTCAAGCTTGGGGTTGGCAAATGCATGCTTAACTGCATCATTGACATAGTCTCAGTGCACGTTCCATCCATCCCTCTGCTAACTAAATATTCCACTTGATATGAGCTAGTGGCTGTGTTATCAAGTTTGGAGTTGACAAATGACATTTAACTGCATTTTTGGCATAATATCAGTGCATGTGTCTGAAAATGTAAAGAAATAAAATGCTCCAATGCATGTTCCATCTTTCCATCTGCTTGCTAAATATTCTACTTATTATGAACTAATGGCTGGCTTGTGCATGCTGCATGCTTCTTTCCATTGTTCTCACAGTCTTAATACATGCATCCTTGAAAATATAAACAAAAAGAATTTTAAATGGATGTTGCATTCTTGTATCTGCTAATTGAATCTTCCAATTTATTTAATGGACAAAGTAATCTATTCATAAATATTCCTTCCTTAATTTGATCCAATGGTTGTGTTGTAAATTAAAGGTGAAAGTTACCAAATTCACACTCTGCATTTTTGTCACAATCTCATTACATGTGTCCTTGAAAATATAAAGGAAAAAAAATTTAGATGCATGATACTAAGTTAAAATTCTATTTCATATAATACAAAAATTAATCTGTTGATAAATATTCCTTCAGCTCTACTTTGTAATGAGATAAACTACATGTTTTCACTGATGTAACCTCATAAACCCACACTGTATAACAATTGTTTCAACGTTTACATGTTCAGTATGCAAAGTCTGTTAAAACATTAAACATAAAGATTTATGTTTGAACTTGTAATTTATGATATATCCAAACTTTGCTTTGATTTAAATGCTTAACTTAAGTGTTCATAGACTGGCTTTTCTTACAACTTTCCTGACCCTTTTATAATCTTCAGATAACTTTATTTAAAACTTGAAACTTAGAATTTTTGCTAAATGAATCTTTTTGTATGTTTTTTTTTAATCAAACTTTAAAAGATAATCAAAACTTAAGCATATTAAAACTTAATACATAATTGCCCTATAAAATTTCCTTACTTAAAAGTTAAGTCTAAATCATGTAGAATCATATAAACATGGTCTTTCAAAGACTGACAGATTTTCTTTCTCTTTTTAATTTCTAGGATGTGTGAGATATAGGTTAACTTCAGATCCTTTGATAATATATATATATATATATATATATTTTTTTTTTTTTCACTCTTGCTTTAATTAATTTCTATTTAGACTTAAAGTGTGTAAACTCTACAACTTAATGTTATGTTTGATGCCTATGAAATTTTTGCATTTTAATTTCCAAGAATATTAAACTAAAAATGGAATCATCTGTGTTAATAATATTAATTTTAAGGACAAACCGTCCAAGGTACACTTTTGCCTTTGCAACTGCTAAAATACATGTTCTACTGAATTATTTAAATACGACTGTTACCATACCTCCCCCCCCAAAAAAAAATACAATGACAGCAAACTTAGTTTTCTCTCTGTTCTTAAAATTTATATTGCATTTCAAATGGTTAAAACCTTACTTTAAAACACATTTAACCCACTCAATGCTAAGTAAATTAAATTCAATTTTTTCTAAAAAATGAATAACACTTTAAAGATTAATTCATGATATGTTAATACTCTGGAAAAAGAAATTCATAAAGAAAAATTAATGTTATAACCATGTGGTTAGCTTTATCAAAAAACTTAAATAGGATAACTTGGATTTACTGATTTAGAGACTCCAAATTTAGTATAAGCAATAAATAAGCTATTTTCTCATTTATAACTCCTAATTAAATAGATTAACAAAGATAACATTGCATCTTAAACAAAAAACGAAACCCTTACTTTAAATGTTACTTGTTTCTTTGAGTTGAAAACTGCCATTCCCTACTAAAGTCAGAAGGCCAAGTTTAATTATGTAAGAGTGAAAGTTTAGACTTATTGTTAAATGAACTTAAATCCACCATGTGCACTCATTATTAAACAAACATCAACCACTCGTGATCCTCATTATGAAAACTCTTTGTTTCACTAATAACAGCTGAAACATCTTTTAAAAAGATCTAATGTTCTTCCTGAGGATTGTTAATCAATTTACAATTTTGAAAATAACTATGAATAATGTATGGCATCTGAAATTTCTCAAACTGGCAAAATTTACATTTAACAATCATCACATAATGTTCAAGAGAAGACTAACAACCTGTTATTCTATTTTATAACAGTTAGTACTGGAAATGATTAAGAAAGACCTTGTGAAGTGCTCTACTCTTGGAACAGCTTATTCTTAAAATTAACAAATGAAGGTAATATAAATATCTAACATATTAATGCCTTACCCGCTAACTTCCAAGATCTGATTATTAATTTTCTCCACTAATTGCTTTACACTTCGTTGTAACTGAGATAATTATATCACAATATTAACTTCCATCTAATAATATGGTTTTTTGTCATAACCTGTTTGCAAATTGACGTATAGAAATCGTAAAGAGAGTGTGGTTTTCTGCTGGCTGAGGGACGAAAGAAGTGGAAAACGTTTTTCTCACACGCAGCTGGGAGAATGGGTTCGAGTGTGTGGGGGTCTCCAGTTCAGTTGTTTTGTTGCATTCCGCCACTGCATGGTCGGCTTGGCATGGCTCCCAGTTGTGTGTAAGAAAGGAATTTTTTTAGTTTGATTTGAATGTCTTTAATCAGTCTTGACCTTAGTGAACTTAACTCCTTTTTAACTTGAGAATTTATTAACAGTTCTGTTGCTACTGTAACAAAAAGACCTTGTTAAACCCACTTTCACAATAGATTTTGACTGATCGAAATAAAGTGACAGTAGATTTATTAGGTTTGCCTTTTTATGGAAATTAACCCAAAGTAATTTTCATTTGGCATTTCTTTTTCTTTGGAAAGTGCTTGCTTCAATTTTCTTTCATTTGTGAATTGCAGTTGTCTAATTTTTACCTAACTCTGTAGTTTTTAGTTCATTATGTAATAGTTTTCATTTGCTCCAATTCAGTTTTCTTTGGTTTTCAACCTTCGTAACTGATATCGTTTTTCTTTTTTGCATCATTGTTAATATACCTTTCGTTGGCGTTATTTGTTCTATAGATGCTCGTGTTATTATAGATTCAGTTTGTGTTTGCACTCTTAATATAGTTTTCATTCGTGTTAGAATAGTTTACACTCATCTTGGTATAGATTTTATTCGTTTGAGTCTAGTTTTCACTTGTCTTAATATAGTTTTTTTATTCGTGTTAGTGTAGTTTACACTCGTCTTAACACAGCCTTCATAATGTTGGTTTAGTTTGCACTCGTCTTAGCATAGTTTCATTCGTTTTAATTCTAGATTTCACTCGTCTTAACACAGTTTTTATTCAATTTAGCCTAGCCTACACTCGTGTCAATCTGGTTTTCATTCACTTACACCTCCATTTTTATTGAATTCACTACCTCAGCCGTCTCTAGAGTTCTTAATCCTTGTAATACAAACTTTTCATCTTCAGTAAATGTTCTGTTAGCCAGTGGTGGATATCTTCTTCACCTTATTCTCTCCTCTGAGTCGCTACTTCAGGCTTCTCATGCTAATGTCTGTAATCCTTGAAGCACAAACTTGTCATCTCAATTAAATGTTCTATTGTCACTCAGTAATGTGTTTCCTCTTCTCATTTCTCTCTCCTCTTTTCTTAACTTTTCTAAGAGACTCTATCGTCACTCTTACTGGATCACTATTCGAGGTCCACTCGAGAAAAGCGAGGGGCTCTTCTAAGCGAGGTCGCCTTCAAATCTTTTTATGAATAATTCGTGATGTCCACACATTCTGCCCCACGACTAAAGTTTTTGACTCTCGAAACACAAACTTCTCATCATGATTAAAAGTTATATCCTCACCCAGTAATGTCTTCCTTCTTCACAGTCTTCTCTTCCCCTTTTCTTGACTTTTCTAAAAGACTCCATTATCACTCCTATTGAATCACTACTTTTGGTTTCTCACATTTCTATCGATACTCCTTGAAATACAACCTTCTTAACTCTAGTAACGTTCTCTTTTGCCCACCTCATAATGTGTAACCACCTCACAGTATTCTTCACCTAACTTCCCTACCAGGTTCGCTCAGAGATAATTGCCACGTATGCGTTATGTGGCTTTGCCAACTTCAGCTCGATCGGAATTCAAATTGGAGGTTTGGCTCCATTGGCCCCGTCACGACGACAAGATTTGGCTACAGTTGCCGTGCGTGCACTGGTTGCGGGTACAATTGCTTGCTTCATGACGGCATGCATTGCAGGTGAGATTTGTAACGTATATATTCTGTAATTGCACCTGTCCAAACAGATACGTGCCGAAATCATCACTACCTATGCTCTTTGTGGGTTTGCTAATATGTCATCCGTCGGGGTTGTGCTTGGAGGTCTGGGGCCCATGGCTCCTAGTCGTGTGCCGGACATGTCTAAGATAGCGGTGAGGGCCCTTGTTGCTGGTACTGTTGCATGTTTCATGACTGCTTGTGTAGCAGGTGAGATTTATTAGTTTTTTTTTTTTTTTTCCTTGGATTGGGTAATCGAGAGGGATTAGAACGGCAAGTCGGAACTAAGAGTGAACGTGAAGTGGTGCATTTTCTTTCTTTCTTTTTCAGCCCAACATAGTACACTAAAAAGATTTCTCGTTAAATTGTCAAAACTAACCCGGGACTGCACATGCCTTTCTTCACTAAGCGCTGTTCTTGATCTAGAAAACTCGTTCAACCTTCCCCACCAATATGAATGCCAAAACTCAATCCGATTACGACTTGATCATCTGTGTTTAGCTTCGCTTAAACCTTTGACTCCAAAGAGTGACTATCAGCGCTGAATCAAACAACTGAGGTCACGACAATGAAGGAAACCATCAACAACTAAAGAAGCTCTTGGTTGCCAAATAAATTCTCCTCGTCAGCACCTTGGGAATGTATAGAGAACAGTATGGAGAATATGCATACTGATGTTAGGGTGTAAAGGATAATGAATCATTTGGTTTTCGTGATACTTGTTTGACGTTGTGGTTTCTTGACGAATTGATTTCATGAGTAGTCAAACCTGGACAGATCTCTTTTTTTCTTTAGTTACAAATTGTGCATTTAAAATTCACTATTAAATGTTATCAGTGTTGAAACAGTGACATATTTCCCTTTTCCTTCATAATTTCTTCAGGGAGAAGATACGGAAAGGCAACCGTTTTGTGTCAAAATCTACTTATAATGTGTCAGTTGACAATTATGTAATAGGAAAATGCAAAGCGGGGAAAAGGGCAAAATTATGAAATCGCGGAATAATCAAGATAAATTCACCAGTAGTATTTTTCTCCCACTTCCTAATATACGGTAAACCACCTGGGGAAGTTCTGCCACAGTTAAATGGGGTCAGTCAGTCTTTTAATGTTTGTTTGTTTGTTAATCTGTTTAATATGTTTTCTTTCCAGGCGTCCTTTACGATGAGAGTTTGTACGAAGGTGTAGTTCAAATAGCGACGACCGTAGCAGCAAACACAACAACTGCCCCTCCATAAATGACAACGGTGTACAACCTTATTGTAAATAGCTGAGTAAATAACGTAGGGGAAGGGAACCTGATGTTTGGGCATATAGATTTTTTCTTTATCCTACTGCGAGGCCAAAGATCTTCTGCAGTTTTTACTGGGAAACTTATCAACCACCTTACCAAAGTTAATTGTAACGTGGCAATGTGAGCTTGATTTAAGCAATTTTATGTTATCGAGACTTTAACGTTTGAAGAGAATTTTTCTAGGAAGGTAGAAGCATATTAAATTGTTCTGTATCTAGAAACGGAAAACCTCAAATGTTTCTTTCAACACTTAGAAGGTGAATGCTCTACTGCCCTAGCATCTTTCCTAGGGCTTTTACTAATCTGTTTTGCAACTTTCCCCACTGGCTGCCACGAATTTGCTTTTTAAGATTAATATGTTTTTTCTCAAAGCGCTGCCTCCTGCTGATAACCTTGCACATTATTACCGCTTGCTGGATAATGTATCTATGTATTAGGGAGAAGTCACATAAATGTTCATGTGGTTCCCACTAGAAAGCATTAGAGCGCATATGCTCGCTCACGCAGAGTGCGCGGAGGTCTCTTGTCGAATTTATTTTAAACAGGGAAGTATGCTTGTAGGAGGATTTTAGTTTACACTATATTTTTGTGATGCTTCTTCATTGATAGATAGGAAATTTTTCAGGATTTTAAGTAAGTGTGTAAACTATTCGTTGGAATAGAAACAGTTAAATGTGTGATATTCGCTCGCTTTTAATGACGCAGAATTCAAAAGGATTCGTACGAGCTATAACTGAAGGGAAAAATAAAATTCAAACAATTACAAAGTTTACTGTAAACCTCTCATGAGCTTAGGTTTTTTATCAGTTTCTAAATAAATACACTGGATATTTTTTGAAAGAATAGGGTGATATTTTTGCTTAACAAATTGTCAAGAACTTTTACTGCGGGTTAAACCTATTAGCATTCTTAAAATTTAATGAAATGAAATTTCAAATACTCTGATACTTTGAAAATAAAATAGGGAATAGCAAAGATGAGTTTCAAGTTCTCTTTATATGGCTTTCTAAAGAAGCGAGCGTCGCTCTAGTCCAGCCCCTGTCGTTGGTGCCTGTGTATGGGCATTTCCAAAGCGAGCGTCACTCCTGATCACTTCCCTGCCGCCAAACGAACCTTTTTTTAATTGAAAAAATTTTTTTTGCGAACATCAAATTTTACCGGGTTTCTTTATTGTCGATACAAATGCTACGGTGAATTTTTTTCGAAATAAAGTGCTCCACGCTTTGAATAAGGATGCAGCTTGACCCGTCCTAGGAAGATAGGAGACTATGGGCAATCGAACCTTACCAGCTTGAAATCAGTCGTTCTCTTACTATCGCGGGAGTGTAAAACTTGATGCTTTAACTCCGACTATCGCGCTATAGCGTATCCCCCTTAAATCTTCCAAAACCATGGGAAACAACGTGATCCCGGCTTACTCTTCTTTCCACGAACGATGTGTCTTTCGTGCCCGCCGGGGGACCCCCTTGCTGTACCATAAATCGTCCGGGGTTCTAATTTCACTGATACTCTGGACTTTCTCATATGGAAATGAAGATCTAAGAAGACTAGGTTAACCTCAAACCGTCCCTTTCCACTTTCCTTTGGGTAACTCAAGGCAACGTTTTTCGTCAAGTTGAAGGAAGCAGGTTTCGTCTCTAGCATCGTCTCATTCCCTAAGCATAGGGAGACGCCTCCCTGAGATTAAATGACGTTTGTGAGTATTTAACGATTGTCGTCACCTTTTGATAATCTCCTTATTCGGCCAATTCATCAAACAACAGTAGATACCGTCCGCTCCAGCGTTGTAATAATAGGAATAAAATCTGATAAACTCCCTAGAGGTGAAAGGTGACTTCAAGGATCCAGGTGAGTAAACTCACTCGAATCTTCCACAAGAAAAACGTCCAAAGATACGTGTTTTTTTTTCAAGCGCTTTGGATGATTCCGTGATGAGCTGCCATTGAAACTATCTTGGTTTCCTTTAATGCATTTTACAGGACAACTCGCTGTATGTATAGAATTTAAGGGTAAAAGTGATATTGATAAAGACTGAGAATTTAAAGGACTATTGAAACGGGAACTTATGCGTAAGTCTAATTTGAAATATTATGACTGATCAGTCAGTCTGGTTCGTTGTGCTCTCGCCCCGAACAAGATGAGGGAGGGGAGGGAGAGGAGAGTGTCGGGTGACTAGTCCACATGAAGAATGTAATGAAGGGTGATCGTATTAGTACTGTGAAGTCGGTTTGATAGTTTTTCAGCATTATTGATTCTTTTTAAAATACTGATGATCAGAAGTGAGAACCATATTAGGAGGCAGCTGGGATCTTTAATAAGGAGGGGGGGAGGGGATCACGTTTCTCACGCGGCGAGAATAATATGATTTATGCCATGCAGATCCTTCGCATTCACACTTTTTTCATATGTTTGGTATGTTTTTGACGAAGGAAAAAAGCCTTACGCTCGGATAGTTCTTCCTTTAGATGTGAGTAACATCATTTTCTACTTGCTATTTTGGTTGTGTTAAAATCATACGTGCGCCTTTCAATAATAAGTTAGGTGTGGGGAAACACGGGTGACCAGGTCTCTATTTGTTTTAGGTTTGCATGTGAGTGGTTTAAGAAAACTGTGCAATTTTTTTCCTGCAACCACAAACCACTTAAAAGAAGAAGCAGTGTAATTCTAACTGCACTCAGTAAAATTTAAGTTGTTTCTGTAGCTCGTAGAGCAGGCGCCTGCATTGCAGGCTATTATTACTGTTATTTGTAAATTGTACATCTGTCTTACGCAGGAAGTTAAAGTAACAAGGATTGCTGTTGGTGTTGGATATGCATTCCGTGAACACGAACTTGGGAAAATCACCAGCAATTCTAACTATAGTCTACAGTTTTTCGGAACCAACGATATGTTCTCCAATCTAGAGGATGTGATAAAACTGTCTTGCGATCAGTACGATATTGGTAAGGTTGGCAGTTATGCTGATATTGAGGAAAAAAAGTTTTTCATGAAAACTGCGTTTGATTTGTGTCTAGGCTCGTCAATGAGTCTTGGATTAGTATCTGAAAAACGAGATATAGCTGAGGCAAGTGGCCTTATCATAGAATGGAAGGAGACGGGGTGAAGTGATGGTAACTTGTGGGGTGGGCTGAGGGGTTTTGAGCTAATTGGGGGGTTCTACCATCCCAAGGTAGTTTTTTCACAGATTTCCGTATCTGTACATAGCAATTTTTTGTTCCTATACATAGCAAACGTCGGACTAATTCATCACAGGTGAATGCGGTGACTGGGGATCCTACGGAGCCTGTAGTAAGACTTGTGGTGGTGGTGTCCAAGTTCGTACGAGAACTTGTCCGGAAAGCAGTGTTCATCTCAGTAAACAAAAGAAATATTGTAATACCAAGCTCTGTCCAGGACAAAGTATGTACCATTGTTTTACTGTTTGAGGGTCATTCGTTCACTTAATGTCAACCTTTTTTCGCTTTCCTCTTATTACGTTTTAATTTGTATTCTTTCACTCTTTTTCATTGCTTTCTTGTAAAGAACCGTGCGAAGATAAACAAAAAAATTGTTCGATTAGGGCTGCCTCAGGAGACTGCTGGAAAACGGCCCAACCGTCAGCTACATTTTATGTGGGTAAGAAGTTTCCTCTGTGGGACATCTGTCCTAAGAGCTGTCGACGATGTCACGGTGAGCAAATTACTTTTAAATGTTATAAATTAAAGTCTTCGGGTTTGCATCGTTATCTTACTTTCATTTTCTGTGCCTACTGGAAATATTTGTGAAGCTGTTGGAGTGTTAGGTTTTGTACTGGGACTGGGGTCCCTGAGCACAACTAGACGATAAGAAATAACAGCAACACTTTCTGATGAGAAATACTTTGTATTACCTTCCGCGCCGGTGGTACAGTTTGTCTCATGGCTTCTAGGGTAAGAGTGGCCTTACAGGAAAAGGTAAAGAGTCACAAATCACAGAAATCTTCTAGAAACAATGAACAGAGTTTTGATACAAAAGTATATCAGCAAAAGTAGAGGTTTTTTTGTTTATCTAAACCTTCTAAGTCCAGGATAATGACGCCAGCTATTTGATTTCCCATCCAAAAGAATTTTTCTGTTTTTAATTTTCACACGTTGTTGGCTATGGTACTGAAATTATAATTTGGAATTTTTTTCGCATTTTGGAGGCAACGTTTAATTAAGAAGTTTTTCCGAAAAATATGACCAGGCTCTCCTTCTTTTTCCAGCGGATCCTTCCGAAGATAGCGATCCTTATGTTTGTCCTTGGTGGTCACAAGCGAGAGAAAACAAAAGGAAATGCAGGTTTATTTTCCCATCAGGAGGCCGAATAGCAACACTAAAAGGTTAGTCTATTCTACTCTCGCTTGATTTTATCGATCTGTGCTGCATAAATCACTGGCGTCTCCAGGGAGCTGGTCCTCACCCCTGGATTTGCCGTGAAATGATTCCATATCTGTATTTTTCTTAGGCCAATCTGCCGAAGACATCTCTGAGTTCACCTTCACGTGATCTGGCCGCTCATGCGTGTAATGTCGCAGAGATCCTTTATCATAAGCATGCATCTTCTGATGGTGATTAACTTTATGCAGGCTGGAGGCTGCTTATTAGCCTAAACCCGCATGATATAGGCCTAATAATAG